CAGAATCGGTGATGGGCCACACACATCATCACAACTTTCTAGATTTCCTTTTACGAACGTCTATCAACTTTCCTTTACTTTTATCATCCTCCTAGTAAGTCTATTGCTACACAACGTATTTTACATTTGTGCAAAGCCGATTTCGATTGTGTCAATGGTGCTACAACACCGGTTTCGACCATGTAAAACTGTCAAAGGTGTAACGAATGCAACACCAATACGAACGAACTAACTAAGGAATCACTTTTATAGGCAAAATGGCCGCCGCAATTCCTGTTTTTACGATCTATAATGCCATGATTTTATGCCAAATCCCTGACACTGGGAATTTCCAAGGTCAAACTGACGCTCAACGTATGGCAGAAGAGCTCTTTGACAACGATCAACGTATGGCAGAAGAGCTCTTTGACAACGATTTTGGCACTGCCATGACCAAGTCAATCAAGCAAGTATGCAAGGACGAATTGTGTCAAGACCAAGGGCTCAAGACCGAATCAGAGCATTTGTACAGTGGATTCGCGATGAAATTCGGATGGGCAGGAACCCTGCACAACACCCTTTCCTAGCTGGAGATACATCTACTCTGCTGCAGCGATTGAACTTCCATCAAAAGTATGTCAAAGATTCTAAAACTTTAATTGACAATACGGTTCCACCCAAGTGGAGCAAAGAACAACAATGAAAGCAATGGGTCAAGCTGCTCCGTGAGTTCTCCGCGCATATATCGGTGTCAATGGCATCCCTCTTGTTTATGTGGTCCGCGAGAATGCAGCTCAAGACCCAACACCACAAGACGATTTTCTTGACGAATACATCAATATGGCCCTACTCGTTGGAACCGCCTTTATTGTGGATAACAAACAAGTGTTGGCTCTACTGAACAAATTTATCATGGGTTGTTCTGAAGCTGAAATGGTAATACAAGCGCTCAATACTACTACTGATGGAAGAGCTGCTTTCTTCGCATTGAAGGCATTTTATGAAGGTGAAGGCATTTTCGCTCATGATGTCATGGCAGCGGAAAACATCATTGCAACACTTTTCTACGCAGGAGAAAAACGCCCAGCTATGTACTGGCTGAAATTCGAAAAAATATTAAATAATGCCTATGCAACCAGGCATCACAAATATGGACGTGTAATGTATACTGACGTTATGAAGCTACAATCCCTCCAACAAAGAATCAAAGCTGACTTCCTGTCACAGACAAAAGCGGCAATTGAAGCTAACATGCATGCTATTCCTATGACTATGACATATGATCAGGCCATGCGAATGTACTGTTCCAAGGTGACAATTCCTGTGATAACCGCCGTTACAATGGAAATCATCACTTTGAGTGATGGGAAAGTCATCAAGTACCATCCGAGTTACAACTTTTCTCGTGAACACTTGGACCTGATGACAAAAGACCAATGCAACACAATGACAGCCAAAAGGACAGCTTATCGCAATCGAAACAAAAATAACCAAGACAATGCTAGTACCAACGAATATACAAGAAATATAGTCGCACTGACTTCTCTAATTGGAGATTTGACCAACCGTTTGACTGTACCAACGGAAATCACACAAGGAACTGCTGCTACTCAAATCTCCCAAGTTACTACTGGCACCAACGGGCGCTCCATTATTGGAGGACGTCTACAACAAGCCCAACAGAGACAAAATGGAGGAAGTGGAAGTAATATCTGACTACTACCTGTCAGCCGCAGCATCAGCCAAATTTCACGGATCGTTCATGTCATCTCCGAATACTCAGCAACACAAAGACTTGGTGTCTAAGAAACTGTGGCTGGCACTTACGCCGACAATGAAATAGACACAAACGCTGACACTTGTTGCTTGGGCAGCAATTTCATTATTACTGCTTACACACAACGCTCGGCCGATGTATACGCCTATGATTCCAGTCTACCGCCAACTCATGTTCCCATTGTTTCAGGGGCGACAGCATATGATTGTCCAGAAACTGGTTCTACTTTTATTTTGATCATAAACGAAGCGCTCTACTATGGAAACAAGTTGGACCACTCCTTATTCAACCCAAATCAGATTCGAAGTTACGGTACTCCCCTTTGGGACAACCCATATGATGATATGCATGAAATTGGGATTGTTCATACCACTACGATCAAGGGGCACCAAGCTACTCTTTGGCAAACGTGCTCCCACTAATTTGAAACGTGCCACCATATTGAGCTCACAAGTAAAGTGCCATGGGAACCGTCCACTGTGCAACTTGGGAAACTCTCAACGCAACGAAATGCGCAGTTTAGATCCTGTGCAACACAACTTGAAACAATGGCCTGTTGTACAACAAATCAATGCAACTGCTGATAGGTTTCAAGATGTTCCAGTCCGGCCATCATTTGTATCAACTGAACGGCACTCCAAAGTCACCGCAGAGAATCTTTCTGAACGCTTGGGACTCAGCATTGGTCGAGCAAGAGCTACATTACACGCAACCCTGCAACGTGGAACCAAATCCGCTATTATGCCACTTGCAAGGAGATATCGAGCTGATCGGATTTTTGAGCGCCCACGATTGAAGGGAAAATTTTCTACTGATACTGCCTACTTCAAACGAACTTTTCTTCAAGGTAACACTGCCAGCCAGGTATACTTTCACAAATGTGGGTCTTACAGTTGTCACCACTTGCAGAAAGTTAATGATGCAAAAGTTGGACCAACCTTGAACAAGTTTATTTCCAAATATGGTATACCTGAGCACCTTACAATGGATGGTGCATCTGTCCAGATTGGACGGAAGACTACATTTATGGATACAATTTGTCGATGCAATATCGACCATCACATTTCCAAACCTTACACCCCAAAAGAAAACCCGGCGGAAGGTGGAATTCGAGAGTTTAAACGGAGGTATTATCGATTGATCATCAAACACGGTATCCCTGAACGCCTTTGGGACTTTGTCTTGGACTATGTGGTTGACAGAATGAATGTTACTGTCAATTATTCAAAGTACTCTGATGGTCGGGTACCTTTAGAAATTATAACAGGAATCACGCCAGAAATCACTGAATATCTGGATTTCACGATATATGGTTGGGTGTTCTTTTGCAGCGATGGCGGCTTGGGAGTCAATCACATTGGCCGATGGCTTGGAGTTTCACACCGTGTGGGACCCATGATGACATATTGGGTTCTTCCAAATAGCGGTATCCCCATTTCTGTGGATACTGGTAACCAACGCGGAACAGCAGACTGATTCCGTCAAACAACAGATGCAACGTTGGACAGCTGATGTCTCTAAGATAGTTGACGCTAAATCTACTTACATCAACTGGGGGAAGGAAGACATCCCTCATCAAATGATGTTCGATTCTGACGACGAGGATGACGAATTTATGCGCAATTTTGGTATACTCATCAACCCAGAGACGCTGCAAGATGGCGACTTTGAGGGGACTGAAGAAGCTGCAGATGACCTTGATGCCCAAGATTACACCAATATGGAGATTGGTTTACGACAAGGCGCAGAAGGCAAACTCCAAAGGGTAAAGGTGAAACGACGGATAGTGGATGAAAATGGAAGACCAATTGGCGTCGCTAGCTCCAACCAATTGCTCGACACAAGACAATATGAAGTGGACTATGCAGATGGCGGTACTGAAATATTCGCAGCCAATATACTTGCTGAGAATTTACTTGCACAAGTTGACGAACACGGACATAAGCACCGACTGATGGAGGAGATTTCGGACCACCGTAAAACCGCTAAGGCAATCACAAAAAGTGCAGGATCGATGCTCCTCCCTAGTGGACGGACTCGAAAGCGCCAAACAACTGCTGGTTGGGAACTTCATGTGATCTGGAAGAATGGGTCATCCAATTGGGTAACCCTAAAAGACATGAAAGAATCCTTTCCCCTTGAGGTTGCAGATTATGCCAAGTTAAAGGCTATTGAAGATGAACCAGCATTTGCATGGTTGGTCCCACATGTACACAAAAAGCGTGATCGTTTTATAAGTAAGGTAAAATCAAAATATTGGGAGGAGGCTATTCAAATTGATCGAGAAAATGGGGACACCTTGTGGCAAGATGCCATCAAAATGGAAAGGAAGAACAATCGAGTTGCCCTTGAGGAATTTGGCAGGGACATCAAAAAGCTAATTGGATACAAACGCATCGCTGGTCACATGGTATTTGATGTCAAACTTGGTGAAAACTTCCGACAAAAAGCTCGATATTGTGCTGATGGACACAAAGCGGAGGCGCCAGCAGTACTGCCATACAGCACTGTGGTAGCCCAAGATTCTGTACGAATATTACACACCATTGCAGCATTGAATGGTTTGGATGTCTAGTGCGCTGACATTCAAAATGCTTTCCTCACCGCACCCAATCTTGAAAAGTGTTACATGATTGCGGGCCATGAATTTGGAGACGAGGAGGGTAAAACATTCATTGTTAGGCGAGCATTATATGGTTTGAAATCTGCTGCGTTAGCATTCAGGTCCCACCTTGCAGAGACATTGGAGAACTTGGGATTTTACTCATCATATGCCGATCCCGATGTTTGGATGCGAGCAGCTATCAAACCAGACGGGGAAGAATACTACGAATATATTTTGTGTTATGTGGATGACATCTTGTGCATGTCTGAAAACGCTAAAGATGTTATGGAGCAGATAAGCTACAAATTCAAATTCAAGAAGGACAAGATTGAACAGCCTGAAAGCTACCTTGGAGCGGGTGTCAAAAGAAAGGTTTTAGACGGTCAGCACATGTGGAATATGTCCAGTTATGACTATGTTACAGCTGCTGTGAAGAACGTCAAAGCAACCCTGAAAGACAATCAGAGGTGGAACTTACCAAAGAAAGCCGTCACTCCAATGAATAGCGATTATACACCAGAGCTAGACGGTTCAAGTGAGTTAAACGCACATGACCACACATACTTTCAAGAATTGATTGGGGTCTTAAGGTGGGCCACGGAGATCGGACGCGTTGATATTCTACTGGAAGTTTCTCTTTTGAGTCAATACCAGGCAGGGCCAGGGGAAGGACACATGGAACAATTGTTGCGGATTTTTGCCTACTTGGATCAACACCCAAAGATGACTCTATACTTTGATTGGAGAATCCCAAACGCAGATTTTTCCGGAGTCAAGTCATTGTACAAAGAGTTCCGTACTCTATACAGAGATGCTGAGGAACAATTACCATCGAACATGCCAAAACCAAGAGGTAGGCGAGTGGGAAGCTTGGCATACGTTGATGCCTCGCATGCAGCAAACAAGAAGACTCGTAGATCGCATACCGGCTATGCCATCTTCTTGAATAGGGCGCCTATTATTTGGCGCATGGCTCTGAAATCATGTATTGAGGCAATTACGCACTTACGCTACAAGTTGCGTATGTTTGGGATCCCACTGGATGAGGAACCAACACAGGTGTTAGTGGACAATGAAGCGGTTGTTAAAAACTCGTCACTGGTAGAATCTACGTTGAACAAAAAGCACAATTCAATTGCTTATCATTATGCACGTTGGAATGTGACAGCTCAGGTGATTGCAGTTTCATGGATTGATGGTGCAATCAATATTGCAGATGCATTTACAAAGCGATTAACACAAATGAGGAGAGAAAACCTTTTTGATTCTTGGGTTTATTGAGCAACCTATGGATCACATTGATCCTTAGCTTGAGGGGACCAAATAAAGGTCACCGTGCTATTAGATACGCACGCATAGTCTGTACGCGGTAACGTACAGAATCGGTGATGGACCACACACATCATCACAACTTTCTAGATTTCCTTTTACAAACGTCTATCAACTTTCCTTTACTTTTATCATCTTCCTAGTAAGTCTATCGCTACACAACGCATTATACATTGTAATAAACTGGAGGCGGAAAACCTTCTTCGTCAAGAACTCTGCTGCCCACGTTGGTGTGCAAATCGAGCTCCTTCTCAGCCTGACAGAGTCCATGCATGAGCTCACCATTACAAATGGTGGTTTTGGTACAACCACTGTCCATGATGACATGATTGTACAATCCAAATGGGTCTCTTTCTCTTCTGCAGCTTTGAATAAACTGCAGACCTCGATCTGCCTCAGTGGGAAGATCAGGAAAATCTTCATCTTCACCAGCATAGTGCCAGTCGGCTTGAAGTTCGACATTTGTCGTACCAGCAGGACATGGAATAAGATAGACATCATTGCCATACTCATCCTTTCCCTTGATAGCATTGTGGAAGACATTTGACGTATCGTAATAGCCAGTCTTTTTCAGTTCGAGCTTGAGTTGCATCAAATCCTTGGGGCACTTGAGCAACACTGAAGCCTTGATGGCGAAGTTGCATTCCACTGAACGCAATTTCACCATTAGCATTCATTGAGTAAGGGACAGTCAAAGTGCCGCCACCTTGAGTTGGAATCTGCATGAGCTGCATTCCCAAAGGAAATTGCATCATCTGATTACCTGTAGTACCAGCAAGTCGCAAAGGTGTGTTAACGCTTCCCGCAACGCTCGATGCTCCACTTGTGGATGCAGAAGCTCCAGGAACTATAGCTGGAACAGTAGCTGGGAGAGTTGCTCCAATCTGATTCAGATTGAGCTTCTTCCCATCGTCAACATATTCATCAGGATGCTTCCGTTGAATCTTTGGTAGCAGTCTGTCTGGGCATTTTGGAGACATATGGTCTTCGTTGCCACATCATAACATGCTGCCTTCTTCTTTCCATCCTTTGGTTTATTTTCCCTGTATCTTTACCTTCATTAGGCTAGTATTTTTCTTGGTACAGGTTCACTCCCGGATTTTTAATCACATCCATGCAAATCTTCAACATATCTTGTGCTTTGCTGACCGTCTTTGGATAGTAATCCACTTCCCTGCAATAGTTCGTCTGAAGATCCAGCATCAGAGGAGCTGTTCTTGTTTGATCGCAGTTGCACAGAAGTCCTGTTGCAAGAATGGCCTCTTTGAACTTGTCTTGATCAGCAGTATCGGTGCTAGCAATAGAAGCAAAATTTCAAAACCAGGCAACGCCATGTAGATCTTGCAGGACTTCAGCATGTCTCAAGAATTGTTCCTTGAAATGCATCAAGTTTTTGTTTGTTCCTTGCTTCATCGCAAAGCACTTTTGGTTGGCTTCCCAGAAATCCAAGAAGTCATACTCAGCATCAGCACTCTTCTTCATGAATTGTTCAATACGTTTCAAGAGTTTGATTGGATCTTCAAGAGTAGTCGTGAAATTGGCTTCACCTTGAAGCTTGATATCCATTGCCTTTGTCACAAACTTCAGCATGACGTTTGATTTGACGGTTCTCTTGTTTGTCTCAAAGTAGGCTGATCTTCTCATGTTCTTGTCAAGCTTTGCAGAAAAGAGAATCTTGTTTTGGGCCATCTCTGTTTCTCTTGCAACAGCTTCAGTTTGAGTTGGAGCGTTCAATCTTGGAGCGATCGCATTGAAGTCAATTGACTTCCCATTGCAAATCGATTTCACCATGTCTTCCAAGCACTTCATTCCCGAAGCTTGGATGTAGTCAATCACTTTTTCTTTGGCATCTTCGTACGACGATCTTGCCTTTCCATCTTTTTCATCTTTCATTGAAAATAGATGTTTCACAACTGTTGAACTTGGATTGCTCTTGACTTTCTGAGGAGTCACACGTCCTCTTTGACCACCGGATGAAGAACGCCCCATCGTCAACGAATCACTCACTCCTTTGTAGATTAGGCAGTGCTGTTCTTGACGTATTTTTGTTTTGTTGCCTTTTGTGATTGAATGTTAGAATAAAGCAAAATGTGCTCTATCGTGAGTGCCTTTAGAGCTCAGATCAAACTCTCAGCAATCTAAATTTGTAATCGACTGTACACCACTTTCATAACAATAGTTCTCCTGTGTTAGGTATACTTTGAGTGAAATTGTTCCTATTTGATTAACGTTTGGCTTGAATTGATGATTCAATCACAAAAGTGAGTTCAACGATTTTCCCTTGGAAAACCCATTCTTTACGGAACTCAATTTGACTTCTACAAGGATTCTGTGTTGGATTCAGTACTTTGGGACATCTTGTATTATTCCTTACTGGATCCAATTCTGACATCACGATCAAAGTCCGATCGTGCCTGTCAAATCTTTGTACTTGAATAGTTCTCTTGGAACGTAAAAAAACTCATATCCCAACACCCACCAACCTCAGGAGGCAACATCCCCTCCCTCTTCTGTCATTGAGCTATAGCATCAATCCAGTGATATGGCCTTGTCCGGCCCTCATGGCTGGGTCCCTGAGTCCATCACTATTGATGGCAGCGAAGGTTGTCTCTGGTCCAGCCTCTCCTTGCCGGTACTCTTTGTGTCGTCAGTGACGGCTCTTACAAAGCTAAAGTGGGCACAGCCTGCGCACAGATTCTCACCACCGACCGGACCAACATCATCTGGATCACTTGCCAAACCCCTGGCAGCTTTGATGATCAGAGCTCCACCCGTAGCGAACTCATTGGCCTTCTGCCCTCCCTCATGGTGCTCAAGTGGATGGCTCAGATTGCCCAACTGAAACTCTTTGCCAGTCACTGTTGGATATATTATGATTTTCAAAGTACATATTTGGAGAAACAAGAAAAAGAGAATAAATGTGAACAATAGAGAAAAGATGTGGACTGACACAACTAAAAATATTGCGCGTGGCGAGTCAGAAAAAGGAGCATATTTCTATGGAAATCATCCTATTGATGATGTAAGAAAGCAAGATCCAAGTTGGATCCAAAGTTGGATACTAATCAAAGTACCGGCTACAGTGGAAGGTGAATGGATAAACAAGTTGAGCTTGCAGCACATCAGGCTGACAAAGAGAGAATTCTGAGAATTTCCACTGAGCTGGAGAAGAAAGAGTCAAAGTCTAAAGTTGACAGATTGTTCTCACTTTTTATAATATAGCACAAGCAACGAGTGAATTGGTTGATAAAGTAGGGTATCTGATAGATCTATATACTCCTATATACTGTAGATTCATATACTTAGAAGGCAACAATACCTGGACAGCTAGATTGCAGTCAATTGAACATGTAGATTGCAGGCGGCAGTGGATTGCTTACTTCTAAAATATTATAAAAAGTCACTGAATCAAATTGGGGGTCGATATATTCCTACGACTTGAAAGAATAGGAACTTGCTCATGATTAGTGGTAGATTTCAGAGTTCTGGATGTGGTTTTAATTGAAGAAATGCTGGACAAAACAGTTTGCTGCAAGGCCAAGGTAATTGTCAATACAATATTCCTTGGCCGATGCCCTGTTCCAGGGCCGCCTCATAATCATCAGCGACGGGTCATACAAAAATGACCTGGGAACTGCTGCTGTTCAGCTCCTTCCCAAATGGGGAAATGCTTGCATTGTCATCCGTTGTCAAACTCCAGGCCTACCTCAGGATCAGAGTGCCTATCGTAGCGAGTTGATTGGCCTTCTGGCTGGGATTATGGCTGCTGACTGGCTCCTCCAACAATGGTTCCCAGCCCTTAGCCAGCGGCCGGGTGTCAAGATCGCCTGCGACGGCCTTTTGGCCATTGAAATGGCCTTTGAAGATCAACCCCTTCCACCCACTGATGCACAATTTAACCTGATCTCTTCCATCCGGGAAGCTATCTCTCGGTCTCCGGTGTCTTGGTCGCCACAGCATGTCTACGGACATCTGGACAAGTCCAACTTATTTGATGAACTCACTTGGTGGGAAAAGACAAACCTGGAGGTAGATGGCATGGCAGTGGATTTCCGCAAGGAACTAGAGGCGGCCCACCAACTTATCCCCCCCCAATCCTCGGTTCTTCACGGATCTGGCAGCTCTTTTTGTGGCTGACACAAAGCAGTCTCGGCTGAGTGACCACTTCATTCAGGAGTGCATGACACTCCCCCGCCTGCTTCGAGTTTGGACTGTCTTCCTTAGATGGGGAGAAGAATTGCCTTACTTTCTTCATTATCTTAGATGAGGAGAAGAACTGTCGTGCTTTGCTGCTGTTGCCGTCTCCTTTGTTGAAACCAGCGTCGCTGGTATGGAGATTCAATGGCTCCAATCGGTCTCCCACTGATTCATTTCCTTCACTTTGTCTTTCTGCATTTAGTAACGCTTCGACAGCTGCATTACAGAACTTTCCCCGGGGGCATAAAGGTGTACCACTTGTCTGAGATTCTTGATCGACGCATATTGCAATTCCACCATTTGTTCTGGGTACCTGGTAGTTTCTGGCTTGGGCTGTTAACCAGATCTGCAATTAATATTTCTGATGGGACGAAGAAAGTAGGAGCGGCTAAAGGAGGGTCTTTGGCACAAGGTGAGACTGTGTCAACACCTGCAGAAGACAAAGCTACGGATTGGAAGGCTTCAAAGGCACCTACGGAGGGGGGAAAAGGGCCAGAACGGCAAGTAGGGACATCGTCAGCCATTGGAACAACGTTTGATAGTGTTGTAGTACTTCTGTTTATAAAGTCCTTGTAACGCTTCAATATCATCTTTATCTGGGTTCCTAGCGCAGTCTCACTCCTTCCCCAAAGCTTATGAACATTACCCAACAATATGTTATCTCGTGCTGTCAAGCAAAGATGAATTGAAACGACCAAAAGTTCATCTTTTGAAAACTGCTGGCACTTTCTCTTTCCAAACCATTCCATGCAAAATGTTTCACATTCATTTTTTTCAAAGAAATCTTTTAGGAAATCTTTGTAGCTCTTTTTATTCAAAATCAAGTCATCCAATTCCTTGCGATGTATCTCAATTCTTCAATTGATTAACATGATGTTGTACATGGTTAGATTCTTGGTCGACGACTGGCAAGGGCAGAATTCTGCCCTTGTACAACAGCAAAACTCTTGGTCTTGATCTTTTGCAAGAATCTTATTGACTTCCTCTTTCCCTCTTGGGGTTTCAGCAAATTCATGGAGCTCGTATATAATATTTTCTTTTTTTACTGTTGATTTTGGGTGGCATTGGAGCAACGAGCAGATATTTGTAGCAATAGTTAACAACATTGTCTTATTTACGACAATTGAAACTATCGGATTGCATATGCTGATAAAAATACGTCATTGTCATGCTGTTTGATGAAGCTAAGGTATCAACTAAAACCTGAAGAAATTCAAAACAAGTTCAAATTTTCCTGGGTTGGACCAAAGATTTGTGACAAGTTGTTGTGCTGATGTAGTCCCTTTATAGTCAAAGTTGTTGTCGGAGAAACATTGAGACGAAGACGTAGCGCGCCAGCCCTCCAGCTCCATGTTTCTCCAAAACCGTAGTGTGTGGAAGTCATTGCCGACAAATGCGGATTTTTAGAAGCCTCTGTTAATTTTATGAGGCTTGAGACATATCTTTGGAAGAAGATTTTGGAGATGAAGTTGTGTGTGAAACACCCAAACAATATCAACTTGATGTCGTCAAAGTCATGATTACGAAGCCAGACAGTGTGGTCGCACTGATCCGTCCCACTTACGAATACATTTCAAGCAGATTCTTCAAGAAGATCCAAGATGAAAAACTGCTACTTTTGATGACACAACACTAGAAGATATTGAAAGGATGTGTCTGACGGTTAAATGGTAGATCGATAGAATAAAATGTAATGGAGACTCACTTGGATATGTGACATTGGGTTCTAAACTTTAGTTTGATGCCTCCACGCGATTTGTGTTTGGCGAGTAAGAATATTTTTTTGAAACAGTGGTGAAACCGGACGACGCAAAGGCCATGTCAATTATATATATCAACGTACGCGTAATAAAGGGGTATGTTCCGCGCCGGGGTTTCCCCTGGTAGGAAGTGAGAACCATACAATGTAGTCTTTGATCAGATCTTATTATTATCGCGGTATTAGTTTTGTAAGATGTTTTGTAGAATAGTTGGCTGACGTCCGCATATAGTTTTTTAATAAGCTGTACTTTTCACCATTTCTCCATACATTTATCTTTCAACTTGCAATGACACTTGAAAAAGTCAAACGTACGCATGACAGACGGACATCCAACCCAACAGTTTTCATACGAGCAAAAGGCAAGCTATATTGCGCCGGCATGTCACTTTGTGTCAATGTCAGATTTCCCTAGCGCATAACCGTAGTGACAGTGCGAACTCTAGATCCTTGTCTATAGGCTCGTTTCATCTGAAACAGTAGGTATGACCTTTTTAGGAAGAAATTGCCCAAAATTCCCCATGGTCTGCCCTTTTTGCGGCATGCCTTGTCTTTCCCAAAAGTCCCTTGTCCTTTTTTTCACAAGGAGCCCCCTTTTTTTGACACTCCTTTGGGGCAAATGACACACAAGAGTCATTATGACAACCATGAGACATTGGTTGTCAGGTCCTATTCTTCCAAAAGGTCATTGTTGTCCTGCACATCCCAACATGATGTCCTTTTTTCACAATCCATGGACAAAAAGGCTATTGATCAGCATTTTATCACTCCCCGCACTCCTTCTTATGGCACTTTTTTGTCATGGCAAGCCATGATACTGAACCACAAAGCAAGAGGCCCAAATACGGAGATGTTCCACTACAGAGTCTATGCTGTAAAAGAAACTTCAAGGGGCAATATAGCAACAAACAAGGGAAGCTTACTTCATCAGGTCTTTCACAACATCTTAGGTCAACCGCAAAACCAGGTTTGAAGAAGGACCCCTGCTTTGTCCGGGCTTATAGAAATGAAGTCTGCAATTCTGTTGATGAGATTGACTTTAAAGACTCCCGTGTGTTCCAAGCTAATCACCATGCCAATCCCCTTCCAGTTAGGGATTCTGTAAGCAATATCACTAGCCCTACTGATATTATGCCAGGCTTTGAACCTGACGGTGGATCAGAAGAAGACACTGCTGCCATGGAAGAAGAAAAGAACGAGACAGAAAAGAAGAAGGGGTCATTTGGAATGCTTCGGGAAGCCACTCTGTTGGCTGATTTTCAGTAGTTTGTTTCAAAGACTCTTTTTGCCCATTATTCTGCTCCAGAAAGCAAGCTTAGCAACCAACAAATCAACAGCCAGACATGCCCATCTAAACTTCCACCTCAAGTATCTCAGGAAGGGCTGAGGAATTACATCCACTCCCGTCTCAACGACAATTTGAATCCTAGTTTTCAAACAGAAGACGATGGAGAATCTGTCAACTTTGAGTATGATGATGACCATGAGGAGGAGGAATCTGCAGAACTTTCCATAGAGTCAGAAGCAAGGAACAATCCGAATGGGTCCTTTGTAATGGATCTTGATGTAGGATCCCAGTATGGGGCTAACTACCTTCCTAATGATATTACATTGCCAACTTTTAATTGAAGTTGATGATCCACATGCCCCCCAACCACCTCTTCACAACATCCCCAGTCCTGATTCTTCCAACTACCTATTGGACCGACTGAAACAAGAAGAGTACAACCGGGAATTCATGCCACCATCTATCAGCACCCAAATGGAAGCTGACCTTCACCTCCTTTGTCTCGCAAGGAAACACGGATGGTCAGCCTCCTCTGTTTCTGACATGCAAGCATGGGCCCACAAAGGGACCAAGAAAGAGCCTACCCCCAAGTGCAGTCGAAACTGAGTAAACAATTCAGACCGAGTGGTTGGGCCGGACACATGATTGACTGGCAATTGGCCTACTAGTCTCTTTATCCGCCCCTTCTTGGATTGTGTATATGAGCTTCTGACAAACCAAGATGTGACGGGTCCCAACGGTGAGAATATCTCCTTGCCCCATCCAACCAACCCCTTCAAGTTCAAACTAGATCCCCAAGACGAACCCGATTTTGTCAGTGAAATGCATCATGGCACCTGGTGGCGTGACACCATGGAAATGAAGTGTGATGAGGGCAAAAGGGAAATGCTGGTGCCCATCATACTGTATGGGGATGAAATCACCACGGACAAGCAAGGAAAGCTAACAGCCTGTCCCTTCAACTTGACACTTGGAATATTGGACACTGACACCCGAAATAAAGAGCAAGCCCATACCACATTCTTCTACTACCCCGATCCTACTGTGGAGCTTGCTCATCATAAGAAAAAAGCAACCGCACATGACAAAATGGTAAACCTTCAGAACAGCCTTGCAGTGGCACTGGCCGACATCACTAAATGGACCAACAGTGACCAAGGACTATGTTGGAAGCTCAAGTGCAATGGAGAAGAATTCCAGGTCAACATGAATCCCTTGAAGGCCTCATAGGCAAAGCTGGTAACAAACCCAATGCTGGAGAAGAAGAGCAGGGTGCTGACACAGATGATGCTGATCCCTCTCTTGCAGCTAAGGCCGAATTTAAAAGGTGGGTGAAGAAAACCTTGGAAAGTCTGGACATCATTGGCCATCAATATGGGGCCTGTCTTGGAAGGCAATCGGATCGCAAGAAGCCCAGGACCAAATTCAATAACTCATTGTTTGACAAGACCAAGAAATGTGGACACGAGCAGGCTGGTGTTTGTTTGTGCTTGTACCTTGCTATGATATCTGACCGGGGCCGATTTATCATGCTCCTGGAGCGTACCATGTATCCCACTTTTTACAAGGATCAGGTGGGTGCCTTTGAGTTAGTCTTGACAATGGAGCAATGGCTGAAGAAGAAAAAGTACCCGGCAAGGCATGCCCTTAACCCAGAAGGACTGGGGAAGGTCTTTGACTATTACACTGATTGGATAAGGGAGACTACCTTTCGAAAAGGCATGGGGGCTCTCTTGATCAAGAATCATCTGATGCTTCACGTCCCCCTCTACATGTTGCACTGGGGGCCTCCTCGTGGATGGGATTCTGGTCCCAGTGAACGGGCTCACAAGACTGAGCAGAAGCAACCAGCACAAAGAACCCAAAGACGGCAGCACAGCTTTGTCAAACAATTGACTGCAAGGTACAGCAAAATGAGACTGATAGCCCTTGCAGCTCGTTTCTTCATGAGGAGCCCCCAGAGAATGAATCTAGATTGGAACCAAGAGCCATTGAAGGATGGAGGAGTTTCCCCTGGTGGTGCCAGGTTTTCTCTAGGGTTCAGCAAAACAGGCTTGATGGCAGCAAAACTGAAGGAAACTACCTTCAAGAAGTTATCAATCTTGTCTGTGAGAAGCTGTTGCCTCTTGCGGACAGTGACAAGATCGAGGGTTTCTCTGAGGTCAAGAAGACAATTGACTCTGAGCCAATTTGTTTCAGGGCCCACCCCAACTACAGATCCAAATCTCGGCAAGTCACTGACACTTGGCACGACTGGGCAAAGTTTGTTGTGCCACATCATGGGGATGCCCACATTCCCGGACAAATCCTAATGTTCATCAGGATGCCCTTCACAAATGATGAGGTGATCCACAATGGGATCCGGCTCCAATCCAAACAAGTGCATGCTGTTGTGAACCTTTTTGTGGATCAGCCACAGCCACCATTTCCCAACTTTGATACTCCAATTGTGAAATGGGGAAAGACAGAGGACACCAACTTCTACATAATCCCATGCAACTGTCTAGTGGCCCCAGCAATTGTTGTGCCCAATCTACTAGAACAGCAGCCTCAAGGGAACGTTGCCAATGCCAATGCAAGGAGAACCTACAAGAAACGCAGATTCAAATTGATGCAAGAACCTGGAAATGAACCACTTGGAGATGGATATTTTGTTGTGGACAATCAAGAACAAATGGCCCAGAGGATGGAGGAATTGATAGACGACATAATGAAAAGGGAATAGGACACAGTATGCAGTATGATGAATAGGTTCAGCATGCACAATATCTCCTACCTGTCCCACATCTAGAACAAAATGCGTTTATCTAATGTTGTTGCGGTTGTTATATCTTCTGGAAAATTCATTGACATCCATATACTGAGATCCAGTGGTGTCCTTTTTGCTCACTTTGGTAGCAGGTGAGGCAGGGGAAGGCTCGTCTTCAGGTCTTGTCCTCTTGGTGGGGCTTCTGATCTCTCTCTCTCTCTTTCTTAAATCGTTCTAGCTCATCATGGGCATCTTTTAGATAGGAAGGAAGCATGTTATTTTTTTGCAGTTGATAGTCATTATCTTTCAGCCATTTCCACTTCCCCTTGTATGACATGCCATATAAAGCCGAATCGTTCTCATCATCATAGAACTCTTCTTGTAGCCAGTCATCAATATCTTTGAGAACGTTCCATTGATTGTCCTTGGAACCGCAGATTTTCTGACAAATCTGTCCCTCTCCATTCAAGTCATACAGGGACCAAGAGCTGTTTGGATATACCTCCGGAAAGTGGGAGGGAAACAAATTTGGAGGATTTTCTCGATATTGTTTCCTTCCAATGAATTGAATACGTGTGTAAGGTGAAGATGGTAACAGTCACTATCGTATGACGTTGTTGTTGTGAATCGTTGTCGGATTCCTTTTTACTGTGTTGTGGATAATTGCATGTTTATCCAAACGGATCGTGAACGTGTTCGCGTGTCAAACTCGTTCCTCGCCAATATATACATTACTTATTGGCCGTGCATGACAGAGAACAAGCTGGACATCTGCTTGTGTCTCTGACTCATCATGCGACATCTACGGCATGCCTGACATCAAAACACTCCTCTCAAGTTGTTCGCATTACCTTGAAGGCGGACGACTTGCATTGCTTAATCCATTTTGGATATCAACAAACGACGGGGTAGAGCAGGTGTTATTCAGCCACTGACATGTAACAAATGGTAGTACCATCTCTTCTGGTAGGTTCGATATGGGGCATTCTACTCCTCGTCCAGTATAAAAAGAAAAATGGGGGGACTTCCGTCGATCAATCCACTCAAGAATGCAAAATGTCACAGTGCCGCTCAGTCTTTGACATTGACTTTCACGTTAGCCGACACTTTGGCATAGCTTATCTTCCCTTTCTTGGGGGATCCCTTTCCACTCTGCTTCTTGCTATCTCTTAGCAGGATGCCTGCGGCTTGGGCTGCTTTGCCAGCTGGAGTCAGTCGCCACTCCGCAAGTTCCTTTCTCTCGTCGTTTCCAAGTTTCTGGTACTCTGGTAGGGTGTGGAAGCGAAGATGGAGGCCGGTACGCTGGCCTTTACCTCCTCCAACTCCCACAGATGCAATGTCAACATCACCAGTGTCAACCTCAAGAGCAGAAATTTCTGCACTCTGGCGCTTGCCTCCTAGGTTTCGCTTGGCAACCGGGCAATGAGGCTGAATATGGGCCGAAGCCAATTCAAAATCAGCAATCATTACGTTGCTAGCTTGGACCATTGCAATTGCCGCATTCAATCGAGCATCACTGGAAAGAATTCCATCAAGTAGTTGTTTGACACGCGTCTGTTGGTTAGGCAACTGGTATGCAACATGTTCTGACGCAGAAACGAGGTGTTGGTATGCATTGCGGTGCACAGCAATGTATGCCTCGACTGTCAGGTTACCAGCTCCTTTCCACTTGGCGTTGCGCATCATGTTATCATACTTAGTGATCTCTGATAGCCACTTGTCATCACCGAGGTAGGTTTTGATAAGGGCAAAGTAGGCTTTTCGGCCTTGTCCCTTATCGTCCGTTTTGAAGGATGGGTGCGAGTGACTTGCTCTAAGTTGTCGCTCATCCCAAAGAGAGCCATAGACTTCAGAAAAAGCTTTGTTCTCTTCCAATGGAGGTGCAGGGTCGACTGGCACTTCCTCCGGGCGAATCACATAATACAGGGTGATTCCGAATCTTGCTGACTTTGTAGTCTGCATTGCAATCACAAACGCAGAGACCCATTTCATTGGTGGAAGGGCTCGGCTAATTGTGGGAACTGGCGGTTCAGGCCTTCCTTCAAGGGAAACAATGGTCTTCCAGTCCTCGGCAAAATGTTTCAATGTGTTTTCATAATGCATCATTGCGGCAGTGATTTCGCGACCAACAAGCTTGTAGTTGCGAGATGCTTCAAATGCAATCACAAGGCGTTTGAACGAATCTTGACCAAAATGAGGGATGTTTTGAATGTAGCTGATTCGCTTCCTCATGGCCGATAAGTCATCCTTGGTGTAGTTGGCAAAACTCTCGAATGTTGTCAAGCCATCAAGTTCCAGTTGGTCCCGTATATCCTGCACGATGCGCATCTGGACCTCTTGCTCCCAGAAAGCAGTCATCGCTGCTGGATCGATTTGCACCATAGTTGTAGCTTATTTGGGTCTGATAAACTGAATTGAATACGTGTGTAAGGTGAAGATGGTAACAGTCACTATCGTATTACGTTGTTGTTGCGAATCGTTGTCGGATTCCTTTTAATTGTGATGTGGATAATTGCATGTTTATCCAAACGGATCGTGAACATGTTCGCGTGTCGAACCCGTTCCTCGCCAATATATACATTACTTATTGGCCGTGCATGATAGAGAACAAGCTGGACATCTGCTTGTTTCTCTGACTCATCATGCGACATCTACGACATGCCTGACATCAAAACACTCCTCTCAAGTTGTTCGCATTACCTTGAAGGCGGACGACTTGCATTGCTTAATCCATTTTGGATATCAACAAACGACGGGGTAGAGCAGGTGTTATTCAGCCACTGACATGTAACAAATGGTAGTACCATCTCTTCTGGTAGGTTCGATATGGGGCATTCTACTCCTCGTCCAGTATAAAAAGAAAAATGGGGGGACTTCCGTCGATCAATCCACTCAAGAATGCAAAATGTCACAGTGCCGCTCAGTCTTTGACATTGACTTTCACGTTAGCCGACACTTTGGCATAGCTTATCTTCCCTTTCTTGGGGGATCCCTTTCCACTCTGCTTCTTGCTATCTCTTAGCAGGATGCCTGCGGCTTGGGCTGCTTTGCCAGCTGGAGTCAGTCGCCACTCCGCAAGTTCCTTTCTCTCGTCGTTTCCAAGTTTCTGGTACTCTGGTAGGGTGTGGAAGCGAAGATGGAGGCCGGTACGCTGGCCTTTACCTCCTCCAACTCCCACAGATGCAATGTCAACATCACCAGTGTCAACCTCAAGAGCAGAAATTTCTGCACTCTGGCGCTTGCCTCCTAGGTTTCGCTTGGCAACCGGGCAATGAGGCTGAATATGGGCCGAAGCCAATTCAAAATCAGCAATCATTACGTTGCTAGCTTGGACCATTGCAATTGCCGCATTCAATCGAGCATCACTGGAAAGAATTCCATCAAGTAGTTGTTTGACACGCGTCTGTTGGTTAGGCAACTGGTATGCAACATGTTCTGACGCAGAAACGAGGTGTTGGTATGCATTGCGGTGCACAGCAATGTATGCCTCGACTGTCAGGTTACCAGCTCCTTTCCACTTGGCGTTGCGCATCATGTTATCATACTTAGTGATCTCTGATAGCCACTTGTCATCACCGAGGTAGGTTTTGATAAGGGCAAAGTAGGCTTTTCGGCCTTGTCCCTTATCGTCCGTTTTGAAGGATGGGTGCGAGTGACTTGCTCTAAGTTGTCGCTCATCCCAAAGAGAGCCATAGACTTCAGAAAAAGCTTTGTTCTCTTCCAATGGAGGTGCAGGGTCGACTGGCACTTCCTCCGGGCGAATCACATAATACAGGGTGATTCCGAATCTTGCTGACTTTGTAGTCTGCATTGCAATCACAAACGCAGAGACCCATTTCATTGGTGGAAGGGCTCGGCTAATTGTGGGAACTGGCGGTTCAGGCCTTCCTTCAAGGGAAACAATGGTCTTCCAGTCCTCGGCAAAATGTTTCAATGTGTTTTCATAATGCATCATTGCGGCAGTGATTTCGCGACCAACAAGCTTGTAGTTGCGAGATGCTTCAAATGCAATCACAAGGCGTTTGAACGAATCTTGACCAAAATGAGGGATGTTTTGAATGTAGCTGATTCGCTTCCTCATGGCCGATAAGTCATCCTTGGTGTAGTTGGCAAAACTCTCGAATGTTGTCAAGCCATCAAGTTCCAGTTGGTCCCGTATATCCTGCACGATGCGCATCTGGACCTCTTGCTCCCAGAAAGCAGTCATCGCTGCTGGATCGATTTGCACCATAGTTGTAGCTTATTTGGGTCTGATAAACTGAATTGAATACGTGTGTAAGGTGAAGATGGTAACAGTCACTATCGTATTACGTTGTTGTTGCGAATCGTTGTCGGATTCCTTTTAATTGTGATGTGGATAATTGCATGTTTATCCAAACGGATCGTGAACATGTTCGCGTGTCGAACCCGTTCCTCGCCAATATATACATTACTTATTGGCCGTGCATGATAGAGAACAAGCTGGACATCTGCTTGTTTCTCTGACTCATCATGCGACATCTACGACATGCCTGACATCAAAACACTCCTCTCAAGTTGTTCGCATTACCTTGAAGGCGGACGACTTGCATTGCTTAATCCATTTTGGATATCAACAAACGACGGGGTAGAGCAGGTGTTATTCAGCCACTGACATGTAACAAATGGTAGTACCATCTCTTCTGGTAGGTTCGATATGGGGCATTCTACTCCTCGTCCAGTATAAAAAGAAAAATGGGGGGACTTCCGTCGATCAATCCACTCAAGAATGCAAAATGTCACAGTGCCGCTCAGTCTTTGACATTGACTTTCACGTTAGCCGACACTTTGGCATAGCTTATCTTCCCTTTCTTGGGGGATCCCTTTCCACTCTGCTTCTTGCTATCTCTTAGCAGGATGCCTGCGGCTTGGGCTGCTTTGCCAGCTGGAGTCAGTCGCCACTCCGCAAGTTCCTTTCTCTCGTCGTTTCCAAGTTTCTGGTACTCTGGTAGGGTGTGGAAGCGAAGATGGAGGCCGGTACGCTGGCCTTTACCTCCTCCAACTCCCACAGATGCAATGTCAACATCACCAGTGTCAACCTCAAGAGCAGAAATTTCTGCACTCTGGCGCTTGCCTCCTAGGTTTCGCTTGGCAACCGGGCAATGAGGCTGAATATGGGCCGAAGCCAATTCAAAATCAGCAATCATTACGTTGCTAGCTTGGACCATTGCAATTGCCGCATTCAATCGAGCATCACTGGAAAGAATTCCATCAAGTAGTTGTTTGACACGCGTCTGTTGGTTAGGCAACTGGTATGCAACATGTTCTGACGCAGAAACGAGGTGTTGGTATGCATTGCGGTGCACAGCAATGTATGCCTCGACTGTCAGGTTACCAGCTCCTTTCCACTTGGCGTTGCGCATCATGTTATCATACTTAGTGATCTCTGATAGCCACTTGTCATCACCGAGGTAGGTTTTGATAAGGGCAAAGTAGGCTTTTCGGCCTTGTCCCTTATCGTCCGTTTTGAAGGATGGGTGCGAGTGACTTGCTCTAAGTTGTCGCTCATCCCAAAGAGAGCCATAGACTTCAGAAAAAGCTTTGTTCTCTTCCAATGGAGGTGCAGGGTCGACTGGCACTTCCTCCGGGCGAATCACATAATACAGGGTGATTCCGAATCTTGCTGACTTTGTAGTCTGCATTGCAATCACAAACGCAGAGACCCATTTCATTGGTGGAAGGGCTCGGCTAATTGTGGGAACTGGCGGTTCAGGCCTTCCTTCAAGGGAAACAATGGTCTTCCAGTCCTCGGCAAAATGTTTCAATGTGTTTTCATAATGCATCATTGCGGCAGTGATTTCGCGACCAACAAGCTTGTAGTTGCGAGATGCTTCAAATGCAATCACAAGGCGTTTGAACGAATCTTGACCAAAATGAGGGATGTTTTGAATGTAGCTGATTCGCTTCCTCATGGCCGATAAGTCATCCTTGGTGTAGTTGGCAAAACTCTCAAATGTTGTCAAGCCATCAAGTTCCAATTGGTCCCGTATATCCTGCACGATGCGCATCTGGACTTCTTGCTCCCAGAAAGCAGTCATCGCTGCTGGATCGATTTGCACAATAGTTGTAGCTTATTCGGGTACTGATAAACTGAATTGAATACGTGTGTAAGGTGAAGATGGTAACAGTCACTATCGTATTACGTTGTTGTTGTGAATCGTTGTCGGATTCCTTTTTATTGTGTTGTGGATAATTGCATGTTTATCCAAACGGATCGTGAACGTGTTCGCGTGTCGAACTTGTTCCTCGCCAATATATACATTACTTATTGGCCGTGCATGACAGAGAACAAGCTGGACATCTGCTTGTGTCTCTGACTCATCATGCGACATCTACGACATGCCTGACATCAAAACACCAAAGCTACTTCTCTGCTCCCAACCTTCAGCTGGTTGCTTGTTGATATTGGGAAGAATACATGTTTCAGGCGCTTTCCAGGCTTTATCAATCTCACCGAGGTGGCCAATCAAGTGAAATGTAGCAGGTCATCGATTCAAAATGGATGCTTCCAGATCAATTCCATCTGCTGGCATTGTTGGATCATCACATTCTGCAGGAATCCAAGGCTTAGGTCTTCTGGAGACAACCACTGACGACCACCTTCTTTGTTTCCAATGCTGTTGATCCATGCACAGTGTAATCAAACAAGGTGAAGCCATAGGGATGATCATGCTGGTGGCGGCGAGCCATCAAATTTGGAACTGAAGCTGATGAAGAAACAAGAAAAGTTGTGATTACTGAAATGACCGAGCTGGATGCTGGAGTCAGTGCTATCAGCGAGGGGACTACGGTTTCGCCATCTCCAGGCTTGTTGCTGGCTTTTCAAATCGCTGTATTCGAGCGCAGTGTTCAGAGTGAAAGAAATGAGAAATGGATATTTTGTGGCAATTTATCTGCGATATCAAGTTGGGACAGCATGTGAAAGCAATTGCGACTGTAGCTGATACAAAATGTGTCCAGGAGCAGGAACCACGAATCAGCCAATGATCACTTGGCGACAAGTCTGAAAACCGCCAGCCTCCTGCTCCAACGAGCACTGAAGTGGATCAATAGTAAATGTGGCTGCTTTTTCAACAATCCGCCTGGCAAATCGAAGAGGACGAAAATGTACAGATCATGGCTGCGCTGAACCGCCGATAGCTGGCTGGCTACTATGATCATGCTGGGCCCTGCATGATACTACTATTAGTAGTTCCATCAGGAGGAAGAATGAGCGGGTTTCCAGCTGTAACCACGCAACAATATTCTCCCCAGACATCCCACAACTAGGTAGAATACGATATATTTCAATCTAGTTCTAAGCCAGTGTAGAGTTTGGTTGCCATGGTGAATGAGGTTTTGTGTTTGACGATGGGCGTCTGCACTGCGTCTACCAAGGGGTGTGTTTAACATGAAAGTACTTTGATAGGTCCAAATCCACGTTAAACACATCACGTTAAACACGGTCATAGCACCGCACCGTTGCCACAGTGCTCAATCAAGATACCAACCAAGACACAGGTTCTATCTTCTGCCTCGCCTTTGACCACTTGCAGATCTTTGCCAAAGACCTCATCAACACCAGAGTACCTCAACATTGGGTGAATGGTGGACAATATGACCCCTTGAGCCTCCATGATTTGAATCATTCCCTCCTGGGTTTCAGTCTCCAACATAACCTGCAAATGAAAGGCCAATCTAGCCACCCTCTCCTTTCTTCTGCGGGTGGCTTCCAAGCACAGCTCTACCATTAGATCCATCTTGTTGAATGGTCCCTTGGCACATTTTCGCAAGCAATCAATGACCGGGGAAAGTTGAATGTAAGGAGAAATGCATGGGTGAACTTTCAGCACGCTCATCAGATGACGACCCTCAACGATGGATCCAAAGTGAAGCTTTGGGACCTGGAGTTCCACAAGATTACCTGGCAAACACTGTGAGAGAAAGTAGTGCTCCATGTTCCCAATCGAAGGAATCTTGTTGTAAGCCAAATGCTTATGGAAGTTCCGAGTTAGATGTCTTTGGACTTCAACAAGCTGACGGGTTGATGATTCGGCTGACAACTGATTTGAACTGCTAATCCTTTGAGATTCACAGCTAATGGAATTCCGGAAGTAGCAAAGTAATTGGAATAGATACTTCTTTGATGGATCCTCAGTGTTGGCCAGTGTCACGCTGAAAGCTGCCGACTTGCTGTATTGGTACTTGCAAGTATCAAATCCAATGTCACCTGTGGGAATGGGATTGGCCAGATCCTTGTGTAGATGATGGTGCGGAAATTCGGATATCAGTCCAGCCGAAGGTGTGACTTTTTCGAATTGGGGAACCATCAAAAACTGAGAATGGGACCCATCTCCAGACTCAATCTGCAGGTCATGCCAAAGCTGCTTTGCATAAGCGGAATCTCGGATCAGGTCGCCTCCTAACAGTGGCATCTCCGCGGCTATTTGCATGCCTTGGCTACAGGCCCACACCTCCTCGTCGTGATTTGCGGTACTAGGGAAGTACTTCTAGTACTTATCCAGGGGCTTGAACCCAGTGTGAGGATCCGGGCGATTGTTGCTACCATAGCAACAGGCCCCCGTCCCCAAGCTAAATCGCCTTGCAATAGGTGCTCGACTGCAGTCTGCTACCCCACAACACATTAGAGTCTGCACCAAGAATGACCAGTGCTGTTCAACCCGTTTCAACAAATCCCTATGCTTGATCCATATGGGTGAATCACCCCTAATCACATGTAGAATATCATTCATGTCAATAAAGGTGGGATACTTTTTCC